TTCCCTTTTTTGAAGATGGGCACTACATTTGCCTTTTTCCAGTCATCCGGGATTTCTCCCGATCTCCACGACTTTTCAAAGATAATGGCCAAAGGCTCCACAATGACATTTGCCAACTCCCACAGTATCCTATGGCATGCTGGGCCAGGTCCCCCCACCCTCGGTTCACTCGGGCCTAATCCCACGTCCCTGATTTCTGGGCCTAGGTGTTCTCTTCAAGCCCAAATCATGTGGAAGGGGCTGGCCAGGGAGCCCGAAGGGATGCCTGAGAAATGCTTGGAATCCATGAGCTCTAGCGAGAGTTCATTCTCTCCCCCAGCCCTCCCCCCGGCAAGGCAGGTCTGAGCCCCAATGGACAGGTAGGAAAACATGGAGTCACTCGGTGGCAGAGCCGCTGGCTCGCCGCCCTGACCTTTAACCACTAGGCAGCACTCCCTGCTACAGCCCTGCCTTCCTATGCTGTTTGCAAGGGCTCATTCCAGTGTCCCCCACCAGCTGCCCGGGACCCTGTGGCCAGTCCAACATCCTGCCGGGGGGCTCTGGAATTCTTGCCTGACCCCCGGAGAGGAAGTGACTCAGCTCCGTGGCTCTCCGGAGTCACCTGCAGGCAGCGGGGAAAGAGACCTGCTGCCCAGTGCTGGGACAACCCCCAGAAAAGTTGCCATGAGCCATGTGAGCCTCAATTGGTGTCTGCTCCGGTGGCCTGCTTGCGACACGCTCAAGGGGTGCTGGAGCCACCACGCTGCTGGCCCCAGGCTTCCCCTCCACTACTAGAGACCAGCCTCCGGGAGAAAGTTGGGGCCCAAACACAGATGTTAGAGCATCCCACAGTCAGCTACCTCCCTCGCTCTGGCTGAGTATGTGTGTGTAGAATAGACTCTGGGGCTCTGTTCCTGACTCTGCTACTGACTCACTGGGCGTCCTTGGTCAAGTCATACCCCCTGTGCCTCATTTCCCCCCCTCTGTCAAATGGCTGTGATATTTGTGCCTGGAGGTTTAGCTAGTCATGGGGGGTAGATGGGAGTCCAGAAAGGAAGCCCGGGGGCACAAATGGGGGAGCACTGCAGGCAAAGAAGCAGAATGAGGGTGGGGGAGATGGCGAGACACCAGGGTGATGGGTGTGTTAGAAACAGTAGGCGTTGCGTGGGCAGAAGGGTGTGTACGGAGGGAGGGCGGGAGAGCATCGTGAAACTGTGGATTGCAGCTCTGTTCTGTGCTAATGCAGTCCAACAACAACAAGCCAAATATTCACCCTGCACGGGACCTCTTCTCCGCCATCACCACCACGCAACTGTCGATGGAGGGGAAACTGAGGCACACGCTCACTCGCAGCCAGGGCCTCCAATCTCAGCAGAGGAAATGGGCCCCTGCCTCTCACCCGCTGTCACCCGGTGCTACAGTGATGTAAGGGGCCCGGGCACAGAAGCCCAGCGTGACCGCTCTTGCTGCAATTAGCTAGAGGAGAATCCCCCTTGCAGTCGCAGTACGGGGAGAATGAGCTTTTCCCTCAGAAAAGTCAGGTGACCTACCCAAGGTGCCAGGCCCTGAGCCCAGGTCTCCGGAGTCGCTGGCCCATGCCTGAGTCACGGCAGCATCCTTAGCACCCTCCTAAGCTCAGCTTTCACCGGCTGGTGGGCCCCTCCGGGACGGCAGAGCCCTCTGCAGTCACCCATCCCTTTCGCCCCCGTGCTGACAGGACACTCCAGAGACTCCAATGGTCGGGACGCCCCGGCACGGAGCAGCGCGGGGGGGTGTCTATGCAGGCCCTGTCGTTTCCTGGCTTATTATATGAACCCCTGGCTCTTCCCATCAGTGGCTCTGAAAGCGCCTTCCACAGGGAGCCTCCAAGTAGCTTCGTCCCCAAGTCACAGAGGGGGAAACTGAGGCACTGAGCGGTAAAATGACTTCCCCAAGCAGGCTAGTCGCAGAGCTAGCACTAGACCCCAGGTCTCCCCTGGGCAGTGTTCTGCTCACCAGGCCGTACTGCCTCTCTGAGGCCAGCGCTAAGCAAAGACAATACAGGACTCCAGCGGGTTCCATTCTGTACCCACTGCTCATTTCCCACAGGGGGTCCTCATTCCCCACATGCAATGCTGAAGACAATACAGGACTCCAGCAGGTTCCGTTCTGTACCCACTGCTCATTTCCCACAAGGGGTCCTCATTCCCCACATGCAATGCTTCTATCAGCTGCTCTGCGATTCTCATCTTCCCCGGGCAGTGGCCTAGGATTTCCAGTGACCAGAAGGATTTTTTTTCCATGTGCATGTGTGCACGCATAGGTATGTGTGTTTGTGTGTGCATGTGTGTGTGCATGCATTTGTCCATGGGTTTGTGTGTGTGCATGTGTGAACGTGTGCACACACAGGTGGTCCGTGGGCGCCTGCATTCGTGTGTGCACATGCATCTATGGGTGTGTTTGCATGTGAGTTTGTGTGTTTACTTGCATGTGTGGGTATATTTGCATATGTGTGTGTGTGTGCACACATTTGTCCATGTGTTTGTGTGTGTACATTTGTGTATGTGTGTGCACATGTGTGCATGTCTTTCTGTGTGTACATGCAATTGTGGGTGCGTGCATGTTGCTGTGTGTACACGTATGTGTGTGGTAATACATGCCTCTTCCTTGGGTGAGGGGTGGGAGTTGGGCGGGGCACGAGCCCTTGGCGAGGGTGGCCAGGTGTCCGGTTCTGAACCGGACAGTCCAGTATTGGAATAAGATGTAATATAGATTGTGACGTCATGTCAAGTGTGTCTGGGATTTTTGTTGAAACCATCTGGCAGCCCTACCCTTGGCCCACCCCAACAAGAGCACAAGTACAGTGTGACGGGACTGCTGCACATTGGAACGTCGCTCCCGACCTCGCCCCATAGAAAGGGGGTGCAGCCCCCCAACCAAGCCTCCCCTCCCACCAGCAATGCCAAAGGAATCGAGCCAGGCTGAGGACCGAGGTGGGAGACCGGGAAGAGAACCCTGGACCCAGCTGGGCTGGGAGCAAGGGCTCCTCCCAATGGAAGGGATTACAAGAGCAGTTGTAAGCCAGGCTGGCAGATGAGACACGTGGGGGTACCGGGCTCCAGCTGGGGGGCTCGCTGTCCCCGGGGGGGGGCTCGTGTAACCCACACACCTAGTGTGGTTCGCTGTCCCATGTAGTGGCACTGAGACCACGTACAGCGAGAGACAGGCACAAGGGAGCCCTACAGCCTAAGTTGAAGGCCAGTTGGCTTCTTAGCTCAAGCTGTAGCAACTCTGGGCTCCCAGGTTCAAATCAGCTCGGGGTGGTTACACTTGTAGGAGGAACAAGCTGGATAGCAGCCGAGGGGCTGGGTGCACGTCCCATTTGAGCTCTTGTGGGAGCATTTCATTCCCTTCTGCCTCTTCTCTTCCTCCAGGCCTGGCCCTGCCCCACTGGCAGGTCAGCCGGAAGGTCACAGCGCTTGCTTCCAAAAGGGATCCTGAGCCCGCGTCTGCCTCTGTGCCCAGCTTGGCAGGTTTGGTACCTCCACGGTCCAACATAAGCGGAGCCAAAACCCAACATCCCCCCGCCCTGCCAAGCTGAAGCGGACGGATCATTTACCTTCTAGATGCAGGTGATGGCCTGACAGGAAACCCAGCCTCAGCAAGAGAGGCCAGCCTGTGACATCACAACCCCACGCCATGGAGACACTGGCGACCGCACAGGGATACGCGGATCCGTGATACGGCCCATTGCCGGTACTGCGGTTACAGCTGTGCATGAACCGAGCTGTGTACGGGGCTATGCTCCTGTCATTGCAGCACATCGGACTCTGAATGCACTTCAAGAAGCGAGATTATCCAAAAAGATCTGTGAACAGTCTGCTTCTCGGAAGACACAGGGCGGACACACCAGGGCAGAGTTAAGGTTACGGAGGGAATCGCACATTTCCAGACTTCCAATCTGTTTTCAAACTTGAATTGTAGATGAGAGTTTTTTACCTTTGGAGTGGCCAGGAAGAAAAAACAATCACATCTCTGTATTGCAGAAGCTTCTTCAGGTCCTAACGCAGTCCTCTGGCGCTAGGCGCTGTACAAACACAGACAATCTAACAAGCTATGCTTCTTTGGTAGCCGCTGCAGAGATACTGCCTTAATTCAAACTTCGTGGCGCTTGAACGTGAAAATGGCCTTTAATTGCTGCCCTGTTTGTAATGTGCTGCTGAATCAGTTTAATGCAATCCAGAGCAAAACTCCATCCAACCACCCCCCGGAGCCTGTTAACCCACAACGGAGAGTAAACAAAAAAGGAGGGAATGAAACAGCTGGAGCTGGTGACTTCTTGGACAGGAAAGGGATCGTCCTTACTGTAAATATCAAACACGACTTCCCTCCAACATCAGTTCTGCAGCTGGCACGGCAGGTGTGGGGGAGGTTAGCGTGACAAAGGGGCCCGATCCGGGATGGAGGGAGCCCCTTTCGGGTTGTCAGGTCTTGTCCCCTAATGAAGCATAGAGGGGGGATTGTTCTTTGGTCTTTTCCTCTCCTCTCTGTACCCCTTCCCTGGCTCTTTGCTTTCAAATCAGCAGAGGCATGGGGCAAAGTTCAGGAAGGAGAAGGCATTGCATGGAGACAGGGCGTGTGGACACCACCTCAGTGCCTCTGCTATACGGAGGCAAGAAGCCCACCGAGGCAAGACGGCCTAGTGGGTAGGGCGCAGGAGAGCTGGGTTGAGTTCCCTGTTCTAGCCCCATGGGCAATTTCTGTAGCCCCCTGGCTCATCGGGATGAGAAACGTACCCTAGAGTGTGAGAGCCGTGGCAGCTGGATAAATCGGCACAAATTGACTGGCTCAACCAAAGGGCTTTATTGAATGCGGAGCAGCGAGGTGGTGCCCAGCCCCCGGCTGCCCGCCCAGCCCTGCCCCTCGCACGACACATGGGCAAACAGCGTGAGGTCATGTGACACACCCAGAACCAATGGCAACGCATTGCCGGCGCTAACCCCTAGGCAACACCATCTCTTTATACGCTGTGTGAAGCGAAGGGGCAGGTCTCCCGTGGGCTGGAAGCCAGAGGCCACAGGCTGGGCATATGTGGGTTCCCGGGCTGTTTGCTGTTGCTGATTACCATGGGGAGTCATTGGAGCAGGACACCAGGGAACGCAAACTGATCCCTGCACGGAGCGAGCTGCCTGGCCTTAGCCAGAGGACAGATATTCAGGGCCCTGGGGCTATCCAGCAAGGGCTCACTTGGCCTTCACCGCTCTACTATTTGAGCGCCTCTGGGACGGATTGAACCCCCACTTTCCAGCTCCCTGCGAGGTATAACGGGGGAGCTGAGATCAAGGGCTGCACCCCACTCGAGTCCCAGGCCAGCATGCTCCCCACCTAGCTGGGCAAGGAGGGAATCTGTGGGTTACAAAGAGACAGAGTCAGTTGCCTGCTCTGCAACAGATTGCTTGTGTAACCTTGGGAAAGTCACTTAGACCCAGATCCTCTAAGCAGTAGGGGCCTAAACACCACCGAGGAGCTGCGCCTGAGCCACTCTGTGCCTCAGTTCCCCCTCTGCACCACAGGGAAGATAGCCCTGCCTGCGGGGGGCGCGGAGGAGTCACCGATCCCAATGCTCTTAGGGATGGGGGACTAGGGAGACTCTTCCCAGCCCCCAGTTGCCGGCGTGTTGACGCGCTGAACGATCCTGGTGTTTAACGAGGTGTTTACAGGCCGGCCGGACCCGCCCCATTCCCGGCGAGATCCCCCGCGGCCGCCGGCAGGGAGGAAAAGGTTCACACAGAAAAACCCCAAAGCCAGCCAGTAATTAAAATGTCCCAGCCGCGGCGTGCGTTCCTCCCTCCCCCGCCAGTGCCCGATTCCCCGCCCCGTTGGCACCGTCTGCCTGAAACCGCCCGGGTTATACAACCAGCCTGAGCTAAACAGCACGCTGACGACACCTGCCGGGCCCCGCCCCGGGCCCCGCGCCCACTGGGCCCAGTGGCTCGTTTGTGGACTCGGTGCTGGCCGCGGTTGGTCCCTGGGCCTGTCTGTCAGGCGTGGGCCACGCGCATTAAATCCTGCGGTCCCACTGACACACTTCGGCTCTAATAGCACCTACCAAGGCGCTTGTATGAGCTGCCTGTTCTGGATTAACCCTTCCCGGGCCAGCCAGGTTTCCCTGCGGGCAGGGCCTCTTCCCAGTGCCCCTCGCACCGGGG